CCTGGCCTGTTCCTGCTCCCTCGCACCAAGCCAGTGGTGCGTGTTCCTAGTCCGGTCCGGCCCGTGCCTGCTCCTCGCACCAGACCAGTGGTGCGGGTGTCCAGTCCGTCACGGCCCATGCCTGCTCCACTCCGGAGCCAGAGCAGTCCGCTCCACCGGTGCCTAGTTCAGCTCCGGTCAGCTGCTTCACTCCGGAGCCAGAGCAATCCGCTCCACCGGGGTCCAGTCCAGCTCCGGTCAGCGGCTCCACTCCGGAGCCAGAGCAGTCCGCTCCACCGGTGCCTGATCCAGCTCCGGTCAGCGGCTCCACTCTGGAGTCAGAGCAGTTCGCTCCACCGTCGTCGGGTCCAGCTCCAGTCAGCGGTTCCAGTCCAGACCCAGACGTCAGCCCCTCTCCAGGTTCAGGGTCTCCCACACCAGGGTCCAGACAGGGCTTGGTACTTCGTGGGAGGAAGGTCCAGACCAGACCAAGGGCGCAACAGGGAGGCGGAAAATAGGTGGTGGTCACGCCCGGAGCCGGATCCGCCTCCGAGGCGGAATGCCCAAGTCTAGGTCCAAGAGGCTTCTAAACAGCTTCTACCCCCAAACCATAAGACATCTAATCAAATGGCTACCCAGTCCATTTGCCCCCCCCCCCCCCCCCCCCCCCCCCCCCCCCCCCCTATTTTTTTACGCTGCTGCTACTCTCTATTTATTATCTATGCATAGTCTCTTTAATAACTCTACCTACATGTACATATTACCTCAATTACCTCGACAAACCGGTGCCCCCGCACATTGACTCGGTACCAGTACCCCCTGTATTTAGCCTCGCTATTGTTAATTTTACTGCTGCTCTTTAATTATTTGTTACTTTTATTTCGTATTATTCACCACAACGTTCACACTAAGGTTATTATAGAAAACTAAAACTAATCATGAAAAAACATTTTAGTAAACTGAAATAAAAGTATTAACAAACCTGTTTGAAAAACTAAAACTATACTGAAACTATTATCTTTGACTCAAAAAAATCGAAATAAAATAAAATAAAAGCCATCATGAATTATGTTCAGTTTGAGTTATTTTTCTCTTAATTTTGGGCAAAAATAGAATGGGGTTTTCAAGCTTTTTTCTCTAGTGAGGTTTGGCGGGTCAGACTGGGTGCGTTTGAGTGGTAAAGGCTCAAGCAACCAACTGTAGACAAAATTCGAGGAATGAAGTCGGGGGAGGTGCAACTGTGACAGCCAAAAGTCGGTACGCTAATGTAGTTTTCCAGCAGCAAGGTTCAACTCAACATGGCAATATTGCCATTGTTTATCAAAGTTTTCTTTCTATGTCTGCAACCCCCATATCCCACTCTCAAACTGAAATATTGAGGAGTACACCACATCAGTCACTGGCTTCATCAATAAGTGCATCGATGATGTCGTCCCCACAGTGACCGTACGTACATACCCCAACCAGAAGCCATGGATTACAGGAAACATCCGCACTGAGCTAAAGGGTAGAGCTGCCGCTTTCAAGGAACGGGACTCTAACCCGGACGCTTATAAGAAATCCCGCTATGACCTCCGACGAACCATCAAACAGGCAAAGAGTCAATACAGGACTAAGATTGAATCGTACTACACTGGCTCTGACGCTTGTCGGATGTGTCAGGGCTTGAAAACTATTACAGACTACAAAGGGAAGCACAGCCGCGAGCTGCCCAGTGACACAAGCCTACCAGATGAGCTAAACCACTTCTATGCTTGCTTCGAGGCAAGCAACACTGAAGCATGCATGAGAGCACCAGCTGTTCCGGATGACTATGTGATCACGCTCTCCGTAGCCGATGTGAGTAAGACTTTTAAGCAGGTCAACATTCACAAGGCCGCAGGGCCAGACGGATTACCAGGACGTGTACTCCGAGCATGTGCTGACCAACTGGTAAGTGTCTTCACTGACATTTTCAAAATGTCCCTGACTGAGTCTGTAATACCAACATGTTTCAAGCAGACCACCATAGTCCCCGTGCCCAAGGACTCTAAGATAACCTGCCTAAATGACTACCGACCCGTAGCACTGACGTCTGTAGCCATGATGTGCTTTGAAAGGCTGGTCATGGCTCACATCAACAGCATTATCCCAGAAACCCTAGACCCACTCCAATTTGCATACCGCCCCAACAGATCCACAGATGATGCAATCTCTATTGCACTCCACACTGCCCTTTCCCACCTGGACAAGAGGAACACCTACGTGAGAATGCTATTCATTGACTACAGCTCAGCATTCAACACCATAGTGCCCTCTAAGCTCATCACTAAGCTAAGGATCCTGGGACTAAACACCTCCCTCTGCAACTGGATCCTGGACTTCCTGACGGGCCGCCCCCAGGTGGTAAGGGTAGGTAACAACACATCTGCCACACTGATCCTCAACACAGGGGCACCTCAGGGGTGCGTGCTCAGTCCCCTCCTGTACTCTCTGTTCACCCATGACTGCATGGCCAGGCACGACTCCAACACCATCATTAAGTTTGCCGACGACACAACAGTGGTAGGCCTGATCACCGACAACGATGAGACAGCCTATAGGGAGGAGGTCAGAGACCTGGCCGTGTGGTGCCAGGACAACAACCTCTCCCTCAACGTGACCAAGACAAAGGAGATTATTGTGGACTACAGGAAAAAAAAGAGGACTGAGCACGCCCCCATTCTCATCGACGGGGCTGTAGTGGAACAGGTTGAGAGCTTCAAGTTCCTTGGTGTCCACATCACCAACGAACTATCATGGTCCAAACACACCAAGACAGTCGTGAAGAGGGCACGACAAAGCCTATTCCCCCTCAGGAGACTGAAAAGATTTGGCATGGGTCCTCAGATCCTCAAAAAATTCTACAGCTGCACCATCGAGAGCATCCTGACTGGTTGCATCACCGCCTGGTATGGCAACTGCTTGGCCTCTGACCGCAAGGCACTACAGAGGGTAGTGCGTACGGCCCAGTACATCACTGGGGCCAAGCTTCCTGCCATCCAGGACCTCTATACCAGGCGGTGTCAGAGGAAGGCCCTCAAAATTGTCAAAGACTCCAGCCACCCTAGTCATAGACTGTTCTCTCTGCTACCGCACGGCAAGCGGTACCGGAGTGCCAAGTCTAGGTCCAAAAGACTTCTCAACAGCTTCTACCCCCAAGCCATAAGACTCCTGAACAGCTAATCATGGCTACCCGAACTATTTGCACTGCCCCCCCACCCCATCCTTTTTACGCTGCTGCTACTCTGTTAATTATTTATGCATAGTCACTTTAACTCTACCCACATGTACATATTACCTCAACTACCTCAACTAGCCGGTGCCCCCGCACATTGACTCTGCAACGGTACCCCCCTGTATATATAGCCTCCCTACTGTCACTTTATTTTACTTCTGCTCTTTTTTTTCTCAACACTTTTTTTGTTGTTGTTTTATTTTTACATTTTTTGTTAAAAATAAATGCACTGTTGGTTAAGGGCTGTAAGTAAGCATTTCACTGTAATGTCTGCACCTGTTGTATTCGGCGCATGTGACCAATAAAATTTGATTTGATTTGATTTGAAATAATATGTGTGTACATTGAATTACTGAGAGAGAGAGGCTCAAATATCACATTTTTTGTATATATCAGGCCCAATCCCAAATGGACTCCCTATGCACATGGAGATCTGAGATGATTTGAATGGTATAAGCAACACGATGAAAATTCCACATAGTCTTTCAGAGGGCAAGATGGAGCTATTACCATATTGCTTACACCTGTCAAATCCTCTCCATTCTCCACAAGTGTGTAGGGCTTAGGGGTCCATTTGGGATTGGGCCCCACTGTATACAAGTTTTTTCCTGTTTCGGTCATGTCTTTGATAACGTTTGCATGGGTAAAAAAAAAAAAAAAAAGATTTGTTGACAATAGAACCTCCCACAATGCACACACTTGGAGGTGGAACCTAAACGAGCATTTCCACTCAAGGATCAGAATTATGTTGAAATAGGGGCGGCATTTCCCTCTGGTGGGGGCCTTTAAGCTAGTTAGCTAAAATCTTGTTGGTTGAAGAATTATTCCGACCATAAAGCACATGAATGAAACAAAGTCGTATTTCCGACATCACAACTAGGAAACAGCAAACTCACTGTGGCTAACTGTACACTACATCTACATTGAATTTCCCTTTTGAAAATTATCAATTCCGACAGCTAGTTCAGTGAGCTGTAAGCCAGTAGAGAACATATATATATATATACTTTTTATTCATTTTGAAATGGTGTGAGCAAAATATATACAACATAAATGGTTTGCAAAACTGAAAATATAAACTTAATCTATGTAAATATAGCTTGGTGTTAGCTAGATGGGTATTATACTTACAAATGGGGTTGGAACTGAAATTATTTTCCTATCATATCGTTTTGAACAGAACCACTATTTTTGTTTGTTCGGTTCCACTGTTCCGACCAGCAAAAGAAAGTTCTGAACTGGTTCGAACCCAAAAAAAGTAACGGTTTATATATTTCCTTTCTGTTCCTTTTTCAACCAGTGAAATCAACAGTTTTAGCTCATTAAATTACTTCAGCAATCAGCGATGATAGAGCAGGCAAGCTAGTTGTTTACATGCGTGATGGACAGACAAGTGGAACCTATGGTGCAAGATGCGACTGAAATTTTGCGGGTGGAGCGAGAGATGGTTGAGGAGGAGGCTTGAAGTGCTGGAAATCTTGTTATGACATACATTATCTTAATTAGGTCCACATAATTATACCTAGGAGGAGCGGCTTCTATGAAGGAACTTTGAATGTCCTTTGAGCTAACTAGCTAACAAGCTTGTGTGTGCACAGCGGCACCAGAATTAAAAACACACTTTGTTGCGTATTTTTGTGGGACTACAAAAAAATGCCTGGAAAATAAACAAATGTTATTAACCGGTCCCATGCTTTTAAAATAACAGTTATGTTCCAGAACAGTATGGATCACTTTCATTCCCGGTTCCGTTTCTGTTCCCTGAAAAATGTAGTGTAGTCTTATGGGATATATAGTGATGTTTCATTGTCTTAAGTGGTTGGGCAGGTGGAGCAAACAGGCTCGTATGTCAGTGTTGGGTCCTGGCATCTCGCCCATATTCTCCCAAAGTTGGTTGGTGGGATCATAACGATGAACCAATCTGGTATCCCTGTAGTCCTCTTGGCAGTATCCTCCTAGCACATAGAGCATCCCCTCTAGAACCACAGAGGCTGCTCCGACATGGGGGACGGCCAGGGGTGTGAGGGCGCTCCAAGAGTCACTAACCGAGTCATAAACCTCACAGGCCAGCTGGTCGATAGACATGACGTTTTCATCAACAGTGACTCCTCCTGCCACGTAAAGATGGCCGTTTAAAGTCTCCATGCAGTGATGGGCTCGAGGTTGGCTCATCTCGGCCAGGTAGGTGGTTCCTCTCTCAGGGTGGTACAGGAACATAGACACCAGACACTGGTGCCTGCAGTCGAACCCCCCTGAGATGAAAATCTTTCCATCCAACATTGTGGCAGCATGGCAACTCAAAGTCATATCCAAGGGTCGGGCAAAGCTAGAAGGGAAGGCCAAAGTTGGTAATGATAGCAACAAAGAAACAACGTTTTACTTAAGTTATATACAATCTCCAACGGAACCATTAACTACCGCAAGCAATGCTGTGTTACCATTCCCTTTTGAGCTACCAAAAAAAAAACGTACCTCCAGAAATCTGTGTTTGGACAGTAGCGCTCCACACTATCCAGGTTAGTTTTTGGATCAATGTCCCCTCCAATGGCATATATCATCCCGTCCAGCACAACCATGGAAAAGTTACACCTTGTCTTCTGCAAGTCAGCCAATCTCTCCCAGAGGTTCTGAAGCGGATCATATCTGAAAGACAATAAAGAATGTGAAAATTGTGTAAAAACATAAATATGTAAAAAATGTCATACCTAAAGGACTAATTGGTTAGTAGATACAAACCCAAAGCATCTTATCTCACCTGTAGACCGAGTTGAAAATGTCAAGCATGCCTTCATAATTCTGTCCCCCGACCACATACAACTTCCCTGTGAGTACCGCCACCTCGTGACTTAACCTTGGTGGCTTTGGCATCTCTCCAAGCAACCTCCATTCCACATTCTTTACAACACCTGTGTAGTTCCTCAGAGAGTTCCCGTACCACAGTTCTCGGCTGGGAGATCGCCGGGTAAAATCAGCAGAGATCTGATCTCCACCCACCAAGACTAGACTGTCCTTCGGCAAGTAGACTCTGCACAGGGTCCGAGGTGCAACGTGATGGGAGTAGAAGTCCTTCAGTATAGTCAGGTAGAGACCTTCCATGTTGCATTCAGACCACAGTTTTGCCATTTTAACTTCATTGAACTCTTTGAAGTTCATGAGGGGAAAGTGGACTTTCTTCATCAGCTTTTTGGTGAGTCTAAGCCTTTTGCTGGGACACGCCTCGATCCAAGCCACTACAGCCTTGAAGACGACAAGCTCAGAGGGCACAAAGAGGGAGTTGCTTTTCAGGTATCTTCTTAGCTTATTGGCTGGCAGGTCTTGAAATTTAGGGGTGTTTGCCACGTTTTGGAAGTGTCTCAGGACAAAACTATTGGCCACATCGAGGAGTTCCGGCATCCCATAAGCCTCAGCGAAGGAGGCCACATCCAGGCAGGAGTGGGCATCCATTTCCTGTTCCAGGAAGTCGAGGCACAGCGAGAGGGCGGGCTGGAACTGGAGCTGGAAGGCGGTGCAGGTGATCTCAAAGATATGCCCCCAGCTGAGGGGGAGGGACCCACTGTAGGAGCAGCCAATCAGGGCCTCCAGCTCAGCAGCCTCCAGGAAGGGAAGGGCCACACAGAGCTGCTGGGATTCCTTCATCCCGCTGGTGAACATTCCCCGGAAGTAGTCACTACTGGCAGCCAGGAGCACTCTGTGGACTTGGAGATAGGAGAGAGAAGAGGAAATGGATTATTGCTGTTATCATCATTATTATAATCAGGTAGCTCATAAATAGACTACTTCCCCATCTGGTTTATCATGACTCTTATGAATTCAGATGTAAGACAGAAAGTCAGAATATTATAAGTTAACATAATTTAATTTTGTTGATCCCGGACGAGTCCCCAACAATGAATACAAAAATATACAAAAATATAAATCAAATTAATATTTAATGTATATATTTTCTCATTATAACATCATATAATAATATATTAATATATTAGTAATATTAATATCTTATATATCATCCGATTATTATTCAAAATTATATTATTATATGCTCAAAATCAATATTATTACCATCATAAGCATGCATGGGTTATTTAGCTTGATCTCGGATGCTCCCAACTAAAAATATATGAATTGTCTTCTCTATCATTGTACAGTACATAGTCATTATGTATTTTGACACCAGTTTACTGACCATGGAATGATGTCCCACCAACCTCCAGCTCCACATCACAGCCTACTCCCTCTTTCCACAGCTGTCTGATTGACTGAAGACTGCGCTTCATCTGTTCTTCAGCAGACACCTTATTTTCTTCTGCCCTCTTCTCTACTCCCTTCTTCATCTTCCCCTCCTCTTTCCTGCAGAGTTCTAGAACTCTGGGGACCCCTAGTGTTTTAGCTGCAGTCTGTATCTGGGCCAGTGAGTCTCTGTTCAGAGCTGATATGGCACCAGTGTAGGCAAACTCAGTCACCCCTGCCAGCCCTGCACGCCTCACCTCAGGACCCAGACTGATGGATATCTCTGTCTGTATGTTCATGTCAAAATCTCTCCTCTCCCTCCTCTTCTCCAGGTCTTCATCCCACTTGGGCAGCCTCTGGTGTATTAGGGTGTGGTGTACTAGGGAGCTGACAGCAGCCAGGACAAGGGAGTGTGCGTGGAGACACTGCCCATTCTCAGTGCTCAGAGTCAGGTCAGTGAGGAGAGACGAGTCCCTGAGCTGCTCCAGGGCTTTGAACATTTCTCTGGCATATGAGTCTCTGCTGTATACCCTTGTTGTATCCACATCCACTATCACCCCTTTCTGCTCTCTAACAACTGCCCACTGTTCTTTTACTTCTTGAACCTCATTGTCCTCTTCTTCAGCTAGCTCTCTCTGTAGATCTATCTTACTGTTTTCGAGCCTTCTAAATTCTTTATCATCTTTTTTTGTGTTCACCTGATTCTCAAAATCATTTTCTTTCCCCTCCCCTGCATGCCTCTTTCCCTCTCGATTTGCCTCTGTGTTGTGCTCTTCCCCCATCAATTCTTTATCTTGTCTCCATAGAGTCTCCAAGCCCCCCTGGAAGCTTGATCCCGCTAAAGCCATCGCTTCCAATGATAACAGTCTGTATGTCAACAAATGTCCAACAGTCTCCCAACCTACAGCTTACCAATAAATCTAGGAAAAAATACCCAATAAAAACACTGTAAAAAAAATCTCTTATGAAGTCACTTACTTGACACAGGTTTTTGTGGAGAAATACAACAGAAAAGAATAGTCGTATCAGTGTTCAATCATCTGCAGTGGCTCTTAGCTGTAGACTGTATGCGATCTTTATACTGCAGTCTTTTCTTCCACCCTCCCTACAGGGTCAGGCATCTCTGTTGTCTCCTCTTCCTCTTCCCTCTCCTTGTGTGTATTTACCCCTATTTGACAGAACCCTTTATAAATCCACAAACAAGCAGCTATATATATATGCTCATAGTCATACGGATCAGATTGCACAGTAAACTATTAATAATTGTCTGTTTCTGGTCCAGGTTCTCATCCCTCAAAGTCTTTCCAGAGTACTAACTAAACAATGATAACTAAAAAAAGGTTTGGGTTTCAGAGTGGCAATGTCCACAATTTTACCATGTGATAGATTGACGGTTGTGTTAGTGATGGGGAGATGTCTTACAGTAACATACACAAGACTGCATCTTGCCGTTCTCACAGTTCCTCTTTATCATTTCCCCACACACTTTTCTCATCCTTCATTATTTCCTCATGTTTTCTCAAGTAATTTCTCACCGTTTTTTATAATTTCTCTGCAGTTTTTACTATGTATTGCACTTGAAGCATAGACGATCAGACCCTGGAACCGTAAAAAGGGGAATGTTTTAGGCTTAGAGCCTGTTTGAGCTCCTCCAATCCCAAGGCTTCTCCTAGACATCCCAAAGCCTTGGCCGCCACCTCCCAGTGTATTCTGGGGCATGTGACTTGGGGATCAGTAGGGGTATGGCATGCTTAGAGGGTCATCGGGATTGTGTTGCTCCTCCACAAACAAACACTGGGGAATCTGGGTCAAGGAGGTAGGAAAAAGGAGTGTGAAGGGCAAGGAATAGGACATTTACACCTCATTATTGAGCCTATACATTTTTTATTTTAAAAAACAGTTTACCCTTATTTTAACCCTGGCCCTTTACAGCACACCCTGCTCATTACTGTCAGTTACGCCTTGATAATGCTCACTCAAATGATTACATTACCACTATATATGTTGTTCATGTTGCTTTGCTCTTTTGATTGCTCTTGGTGTGGTTTTGGGGTTAACGTTTTCATAACCTTGTGTAACAGGTTGAAGGTTGTAGCCGCTATGCCACCTTGTTTAACGGGGTGAGGACCTCGGATAAATACTAAATACAACTAAACATTATCAAAACACAGGTTCTTCACATCAAGGGTGGAGCATGGAAATGCTAAGACACATAGAAATATTATTTGTATTTTCTGTAGCAGCAAGCAGCAATGATCTCAATATCACCATAAATAATAATCAACAATCAATATTCGGAGCGGTCTGCACAAACAGTGAGGGAAAAAAGTTTTTGATCCCCTGCTGATTTTGTACGTTTGCCCACTGACAAAGAAATGATCAGTCTATAATTTTAATGCTAGGTTTATTTGAACAGTGAGAGACAGAATAACAACCAAAAAATCCAGAAAAACGCATGTCAAAAATGTTATAAATTGATTTGCATTTTAATGAGGGAAATACGTATTTGACCCCCTCTCAATCAGAAAGATTTCTGGCTCCCAGGTGTCTTTTATACAGGTAACGAGCTGAGATTAGGAGCACACTCTTAAAGGGAGTGCTCCTAATCTCAGTTTGTTACCTGTACAAAAGACACCTGTCCACAGAAGCAATCGATCAATCAGATTCCAAACTCTCCACCATGGCCAAGACCAAAGAGCTCTCCAAGGATGTCAGGGACAAGATTGTAGACCTACACAAGGCTGGAATGGGCTACAAGACCATCGCCAAGCAACTTGGTGAGAAGGTGACAACAGTTGGTGTGATTATTCGCAAATGGAAGAAACACAAAACAACTGTCAATCTCCCTCGGCCTGGGGCTCCGTGCAAGATCTCACCTCGTGGAGTTGCAATGATCATGAGAACAGTGAGGAATCAGCCCAGAACTACACGGGAGGATCTTGTCAATGATCTCAAGGCAGCTGGGACCATAGTCACCAAGAAAACAATTGGTAACACACTACGCCTTGAAGGACTGAAATCCTGCAGCGCCCGCAAGGTCCCCCTGCTCAAGAAAGCACATATACAGGCCCGTCTGAAGTTTGCCAATGAACATCTGAATGATTCAGAGGAGAACTGGGTGAATGTGTTGTGGTCAGATGAGACCGAAATCGAGCTCTTTGGAATCAACTCAACTCGCCGTGTTTGGAGGAGGAGGAATGCTGCCTATGACCCCAAGAACACCATCCCCACTATCAAACATGGAGGTGGAAACATTATGCTTTGGGGGTGTTTTTCTGCTAAGGGGACAGGACAACTTCACTGCATCAAAGGGACGATGGACGGGGCCATGTACCGTTAAATCTTGGGTGAGAGTCTCCTTCCCTCAGCCAGGGCATTGAAAATGGGTCGTGGATGGGTATTCCAGCATGACAATGACCCAAAACACATGGCCAAGGCAACAAAGGAGTGGCTCAAGAAGAAGCACATTAAGGTCCTTTAGTGGCCTAGCCAGTCTTCAGACCTTAATCCCATAGAAAATCTGTGGAGGGAGCTGAAGGTTCGAGTTGCCAAACATCAGCCTCGAAACCTTAATGACTTGGAGAAGATCTGCAAAGAGGAGTGGGACAAAATCCCTCCTGAGATGTGTGCAAACCTGGAGGCCAGCTACAAGAAACGTCTGACCTCTGTGATTGCCAACAAGGGTTTTGCCACCCAGTACTAAATCATGTTTTGCAGAGGGGTCAAATACTTATTTCCCTCATTAAAATGCAAATCAATTTCTAACATTTTTGACATGCGTTTTTCTGGATTTTTTTGTTGTTATTCTGTCTCTCACTGTTCAAATAAACATACCATTAAAATGATAGACTGATCATGTCTTTGTCAGTGGGCAAACATATAAAATCAGCAGGGGATCAAGTACTTATTTTCCCTCACTGTATCAAACATGATCTTCAGCGCTATCGCTTGAACAACAAGCTATCCAATAGTTAGATCCGATATCAGCTTTCAATAACAATTACAAAAGTGCATAGTTGAGGAAGGCCTGCTCAGGAAGACAGAGAGCAGATCTGGAGGGGGATGGGCACTCACGCCGCAAGCCCACTTACAAAGTTCCACTGGATTTGGATTAAGCAACACTGTCCCTGCTCTCATCCTTCCAGAGCACACCGACCGAAAGGCAGACTAAATAGCCTTGGTTTCTCAAATGACTGCCTCGCCTGGTTCACCAACTACTTCTCAGATGGAGTTCAATGTGTCAAATCGGAGGGCCTGTTGTCTGGACCTCTGGCAGTCTCTATGGGGGTGCCACAGGGTTCAATTCTCGGGCCGACTCTATTCTCTGTGTATATCAATGATGTCGCTCTTGCTGCTGGTGACTCTCAGATCCACCTCTATGCAGATGACACCATTTTGTATACATCTGGCCTTTCATTGGACACTGTGTTAACAAACCTCCAAACGAGCTTCAATGCCATACAACACTCCTTCCGTGGCCTCCAACTGCTCTTAAATTCTAGTAAAACTAAATGCATGCTCTTCAATCGAATGCTGCTTGCACCCGCCCGCCCGACTAGAATCACTACTCTCGGCGGGTCTGACTTAGAATATGTGGACAACTACAAATACCTAGGTGTCTGATTAGACCGTAAACTCTCCTTCCAGACTCACATTAAGCATCTCCAATCCAAGGTTAAATCTAGAATTGGCTTCCTATTTCGCAACAAAGCCTCCTTCACTCATGCTGCTAAACATGCCCTCGTAAAACTGACTATCCTACCGATCCTTGACTTTGGCGATGTCATTTACAAAATAGCCTCCAACACTCTACTCAGCAAATTGGATGTAGTCTATCACAGTGCCATCCATTTTGTCACCAAAGTCCCATATACTACCCACCATTGTGACCTGTACGCTCTCGTTGGCTGGCCCTCACTACATATTCGTCACCAAACCCACTGGCTCCAGGTCATCTATAAATCACTTCTAGGCAAATCCCCGCCTTCTCTTAGATCATTGGTCACCATAGCAAAACCCACCCGTAGTATGCGCTTCAGCAGGTATATCTCACTGGTCATCCCCAAAGCCAACACCTCCTTTGGCGGCCTTTCCTTCCAGTTCTCTGCTGCAAATGACTGGAACGAACTGCAAAAATCTCTGAAGCTGGAGACACTTATCTCCCTCACTAACTTTAAGCATTAGTTGTCAGAGCAGCTTACCGATCACTGCACCTGTACACAGCCCATCTGTAATTAGCCCACCCAACTACCTCATCCCCATATTGTTATTTACATTGTTATTTATTTTGCTCATTTGCACCCCAGTATCTCTATTTGCACATCATCTCTTGCACATCTATCACTCCAGTGTTAATAGTAATTTGTAAATATTTTGCACTATGGCCTATTTATTGCCTTACCTCCATAACTTACTACATTTGCACACATTGTATATAGATTTTCTATTGTGTGGCCAGGTCGCAGTTTCTCAAAAAAAATAAAAAAATATATATATATACAGTGGGGAAAAAAAGTATTTAGTCAGCCACCAATTGTGCAAGTTCTCCCACTTAAAAAGATGAGAGAGGCCTGTAATTTTCATCATAGGTACACGTCAACTATGACAGACAAATTGAGAAAAAAAAAATCAGAAAATCCCATTGTAGGATTTTTAATGAATTTATTTGCAAATTATGGTGGAAAATAAGTATTTGGTCACCTACAAACAAGCAAGATTTCTGGCTCTTACAGACCTGTAACTTCTTCTTTAAGAGGCTCCTCTGTCCTCCACTCGTTACCTGTATTAATGGCACCTGTTTGAACTTGTTATCAGTATAAAAGACACCTGTCCACAACCTCAAACAGTC